GGGACACAGATATGGGGATTTGGACCCAGGACTTGGTACCAAAGACTTGGATTTGGGACTGAGACCTAAAGACTTGCCAACATTACTGGTAGAGGCACATGGCATGTATCTGTCCCTTAGATTGAATTACACATTCAAAAATTGTTTTTCTGAGGGTACATCTGCTTTTGAGGAACAAATGTAATCCTTTCTGTGAGACATATGGGAAAAATTACTGGCAGAGCAACAAACCCTGAAAAGCAAAGCCTTCCAGATGGTGCGCTTACCTAAGTGTATCAGCCCTTGGTTTTACTGGTGCTACTTTGATAGGGTGTAGCTGTATGACCACATATTTTCAGGATCAGGCCTCTCATAAAGTCTAAAATGAAAGACTTGCTCAGGTGGAGGCTGTTGCATGTATTAACAGTGCTCTCTTTCCAGGTGGTACGTCTTACCTGGTGGTCTGTGTGCAGGGATTCTGTCTACTACACCTTGTCTGTGGTTGTGCTTATTGTGGTAAGAGTCTATTTCTATGACAAGCTTGTTTTTAAAAAAACATAAATGTAGTCATTTCTAAATGGATACATAAGTGATCTGAAAATCTGTGCACAAGATTCCATGAGGAGGATGAAGATTTTGTGGCTCCCACAGATTTTAGACTACAGTACAAGTCCCATCACTCCTAGCCAGTACAGTGGTGCCTCAACTTACGACCATAACCTGTTCCAGAAAATGAGCATAACTTGAAATGGTCGTAAATCGAAGCACCATTTCCCACAGGAATGCATTGAAATCCCATCAATCCATTCCGGCTGGAAAATAAATACTTAAAAAAAAACACTGCAAGCCCCATAGGAACGTGCTGGGGCCAAAAAACAAACACACCAAAACAAAGCAAAAAAAACCCAACCAAACAAACAAAACAAAAAACCACAGCCAGCCCCAGCGGAATGCTATGGGGTTGGGGGAAAACACTCAAATCCCCCTGCCAGCCCCAGCAGAACACCATGGGGCTGGGGGGAAAAACACAACCCCACACACACAACCAGCCCCAGCAGAACGCCATGGGGCTGGGAAAAAACACAAAAAAACCCATACACACAGCCAGCCCCAGCGGAACACCATGGGCCTGGGGGGGGAATCACAGCCCCCCCCCACACACACAGCCAGCCCCAACAGAACGCTATGGGGCTTGGAAAAAACACAAAAAAACCCATACACACAGCCAGCCCCAGCGGAACACCATGGGCCTGGGGGGGGAATCACAGCCCCCCCCCACACACACAGCCAGCCCCAACAGAACGCTATGGGGCTTGGAAAAAACACAAAAAAACCCATACACACAGCCAGCCCCAGCGGAACACCATGGGCCTGGGGGGGGAATCACAGCCCCCCCCCACACACACAGCCAGCCCCAACAGAAGGCCATGGGGCGGGGGGAAAAACACACCAAAACAAAAAACATCACAGCACAGAAACATAACCCCCCAACCCAAACCCACCCTGTAAAACAAAGTAAATGTACTTACTCAAGAGCAGGCAGTCCGAAGCCTCCTCCGACCATTCACGCTAATCGTTGGGGCAAAAGAGCTACAAAGAAGCAGCCTCTTTACCTACCAATGGTTAGCAAATTTGAATTCCCTGCCTTTTTTCCCCTGCCTCTTTCCTGTCGCAACTAGAAGCTCTGGCCGCAAGTTGCAGCAAAATTTTGTGGACAGAGCTGGTCGCAACTCAAAATGGTCATAAGTCAGGACGTTTGTAAGTTGAGGCACCACTGTATAGCCAAATAGTGACAAATAATGAAAATGTTAGTTCAGCCAGACCTGGAGGGGAGCACATTCTTCATCTCTACTGTAAAGGATAAAGTGCCCTCCCTGTTGATACCTCATCTGAGCAGGCTCCAGGCTTTGGAGGAAATCCTGAGGAAAGCATCTTGTTGTGGGCTCCCTATCTCTGCTGGTGGATCCTAGTAGGCTTACTTCATCAGCAGTGATGGAAGACACCAACAGTGTCCCAACTAAAGAAAATTGCCCTTTTTAGCTTTGGTGCCCAGAATCTCTCAGCCAGCATGGCCAGTGGCAGTTCTGGCAACTGTGGGACAAAAATCAAGCTGTGTAGACATTACTAGTCGGGTAGGTCTTGCTTCCATTTATATTTCTCAGAAGGTGTGTTTCACTGGGGTCGACTGAGGTACCATGGTGGACATGCCAAGTCAGGTTGTGGTCCAGGGCAGACATTGGCGGCAATGCCCAGGAACTGCCCAAGGATGCCAAATGCCATCACTGCTCATGCAATTGGTTGGTTTGGTAAGGTTGATGAGAAACATTTTCCCCAAAAAAATCCATCTTTGTACATCGGAAAATGAGGGACAACTTCCTATGAGTCAAATTCTTGGCTGACTTATGACAATTCCAGTTCTTTTTGACCTCTAGCCACCAAATTTGCAGCTGAAGGACTATCTCCAGGCATCCTCAGGTTGCCCTTTCACCTAACTTGCTGTCCTGCTTACTTCAACTTGCTGGACTTTGTACCATAGGGAATTAAAAAGAAGAGTAGACAAATGGATTGTTTCCACGTAAGAGTGGGAAACAGCATCATTGTAGGAGTTAATTACAACTTACATGTCAATAAATACAAGAAAACCATGACTTCCTGAGAAAACAAAGCAATCTTAAATACATTTCCTTGCAGGAGGAAAGAAGTAACTGGGAGGGCTATTCATAGTTTTGTTTTGTTTTTAAAAAGAGCCAATGATCAAGTATTTACTCCCTTCCTGTAATGCCTCTTTTCAAAGCAGGGGTTTCCTCATGCACTTGTATAATGCGTGTTTTTCCCCCCTACTGAGTACCTGCTCTCTAATGATAACCAGGAGTTTTGCTGGAGCTCTGATCGGCCACCAGATAATGTGGCCACTTTGGAACCCTGTTCAGCTTATAATTCTCCACTTCTGCTATATATATATCAACATGATATATTTTGCCATAAACAACAAAGGTTCATGCGATATTGAATTTGAAGAAATAAAAATTCAGAACCAGGCCTTTATGTTATCTGAGCAAAAGTCCATAACAGTTCTATTTGGAAGCCTTCATACTAAAATTACTTTGTTGTAAAATAGAATTGAAATTCTTCAGCTGAACTAGAGGAAGATTATTATCATCATTATTAACTTTTTCCTGTTCTTTTCCCTTCTTTTTAGTTTATATATGATGAGAAGATTGTATGGTAAGCTGTGCTTCTTACTTCTCCATGATTAAAAATGGAATTCAACAGACAGAACAATTCACTCTTTTTTGTGGGGAAGAACGGCTTTGTTGTGCTCTTGTTATAACAACAAGAACAATCTGACAGTAGCAAAGAAGGGAGTGAAGGATGAGATAGATTCAGTTTCCTTCTGATTCCAGTAGAAAGAAGTTGCTTTACCAATACCAGGTTTAGAAGAGTTGTGAGACAATTTTGTGGCAACATTAGGTAATTTTGAGCAAAAAGAGGTATTTGGACCTTGACGTTCCACATGTGGGGCTTCATGGGGTGAGGTGTGATCCTGCTGCTAACCTTTTTTTGCTAGCAGAGCAGTACTTAACGCATTTCCTCTGTTCCCTGGGCCAGTTTACCAGCCAGTTTATCCTACAAAGATAGGATTACTCACCAGTTACTTCAAGCCAAATGGCACGAAGGAACTTTGGCTTGGAACCGCACTGCCTTTTTGCAGCTTACATCTGCAACAGAATCAACAGTGTGAAAAGTCTGACAAATAGAGATGGCGAGGTTGCTTAGGGCCGGATGCCAGAAAGGAATGGGGCAAAGTAGGGACCCGGGAGGGGCGATAAATGGGGCTGACAGCAAGAAAGAGTGATTAAGAAGGAGGAGGTTCAAAGGAAAACAAGGGATAAAGACAGAGAATGGTTTTGACAGTATGAATCGAGATAAAAATCAATGATGTTTTAAAAATCAACTTGATTGATTTTTAAATCACAATTTAAATCACAATTAAAATTTAAAAAACACATCTTTTAATTTAAATTGTCAAAAGCATTTAAAATATTTTTTAAAAATCAGTTTGATTAAAAGCAAATCCTCCCTGGTATGAATGGTGGTTTCTTTCCCACAGAAAATATGCTTTATGACTTACAGTTCTGTTAATGGCATCCTGTAATAATTTCTTTCCTTTTTTTTTCTTTGAGGTGGGAAAGCCTTATACTCATCATTATGTATTCATTCTATATACTGATCATGAAGTAAGTGCCCTTAAATTCTCCTTCTGTTCTTTAATTGTTTTTGACTTTTCACTCATCTCACTTTATATTGTGCTTTGACATTTAGTTAACAATAACACAGAAAATATAACTTCCCCATTTCAATGCTGTTGCTTCCCCGTGCTAGATAGATTCTTTTATGGAATACATACCCTGCTCACAATTCTGTCAGCTACATCCCGTCACAGGCCTGAACCATAGCTCACCAAATCTAATTAACATAATCTTGAAATGGTTTGGTGCTGGGGATTTCACATGCAGCAAACAGAAGAGACCTCTTCAGAGAAAAGTGAGGTGTTACTTCTGGAGTATTCTCAAGTCTCACCTCTCTGTCAAAAACCACCACTATTGGCAACAATCTACTTGTTCCTTCTTTATCTTCACTTTTGCCTGTTGCAGGGATCAGAGCCCTGCAGGTTGTGGGCCAAATGGAATAGCCAAGGCTGTGGGCATGGTTTACTACCTAAAAGTCTGCAGTCCCATCCCCAGCATCTCTAGCTAAAAGGATCAGGTAGCTGGTGATGGGAAAGACACTTCTGCTGTATGCCAGAAACCTTAGAAAGGTGCTGTTGATTAGAAAACAAGGCTGTAACTAGGGCAAGGCAACCAGGGTTTTGCTGCATGGTACTAAAATCTCAAGGGGACGTGGTGGCACTGTGGGCTAAACCAGTGGTTCTTAACCTTTGTTACTCGGATGTTTTTGAACTGCAACTCCCAGAATCCTCAGCCAGCACAATTGGTGGTGAAGGATTCTGGGAGTTGCAGTCCAAAACTCCTGAGTAACCCAAGGTTAAGAACCAGTGGGCTAAACCGCAGAAGCCTGTGCTGCAGGATCAGAAGACCAGCAGTCGTAAGATTGAATCCACGCGACGGAGTGAGCTCCCGTCACTTTGTCCCAGCTCCTCGCCAATCTAGCAGTTCGAAAGCATGCAAATATGAGTAGATAAATAGGTACCACCTCGGTGGGAAGGTAAAACGGTGTTCCCTAGTCACGCCGGCCACGTGGCAATGGAAACGGTCTTCAGACAAGCGCTGGCTCTATGGCTTGAAAACGGGATGAGCGCTGCCCCCTAGAGTTGGACACGACTGGACTAAAAATGTCAAGGGGAACCTTTACCTTTACTGAAATCTCAAGGTGAATCTACTGCTGCTTGTAGCCTTCCTTTTCTTGAAAACATACTCTTTTTTTTCTTTTGGGGAGTACCCTGTTCTCTTCCTTCTTTCTCCTGAGGGGCTTCACGCCCATCCTCAGGGCAGGGTGGGGTGGGAGAGAAGACCCAACATTTCCAGTTACTACTTGGAAAACACGACATTGGGTGAAGTGGACAAAACCTGGCAGAGTGCAGACCAGTTTCATACATTCTTTTTGACCTGTGGAAAACTGAAGCAGATGTACAGGATGGAGCTAGCAAACGTGGGCACCAGTTTCCCATCCTAGGGTCCTAGCAGGGGCTGTACGGACCTCCAAAAAGCAGAGGGAAATGAAGAAAATGAAGAAATAAAAACCAGAAGTAGCTGGATGTAGAATTCAATTTGATTTTTAAAAAGCTGATGTTTTGTTTACTTCCAAAGGTATTTTAAAAGCCCCACACTCTGTCAAAAAGGAACATTGCTGCTTCCAGAAGCTTCCAGGAGCGGCATTTCTTCTTCAGGAGGGCAGAAATGGGGAAGTGAGTCAGAGAAAGGCATTGTAAAACCAGTTTTCACAGGCCATACAGACTACCTGACTCCCATCCCACTATAGCTGGCAATGGAGACCAAAGAACTCTTCTTTGTTCTCTACATAGACTTCTTGTAGCTTCCTGTATATGCACAGTTGAGGGCTGTGTCTTCTTTTGTGTTGTTCCTGAATGAGACTAATGTCATGTGTACCTACTGTGGTCTTTGTTCAATTGTTGTGTTGACTGAATGTCTTCAGGATATGCTTTTTGCAAGGAATACAAAACACAAAGTCAAAACCATGTTTCTTGTGAGACAGTATGTTATGCTGCAACATATTGTGACTCCATGTACATGTGGCAATGAACTACAATCATTCTCAGCTGCCTAGCTCATGTAGCAATGCTATGTGTTTGTTGCATATGTACAGCATTTTTCCAGGTCTCACTGCATTTAGTGTAAGAGGGATGAGCACAGCCTGTACATTTTCCCTTTGAAATCATGGGGACGTATAAGTACTTAATTCGGGCCAGATCACAAACATAATGTGTAACATGGTTCTCACCTAGTTGGACAGAACAGTGTCTCAAGCTACACTGCTCACAGAGGTAATGATATTAGAAATTGGTATAGAAAAGATAACTAACAACATCTTTAGAACTCTACCAACCTGCATTTACTCCCTTACCTTTCTACATCCAGGTACAATGTGAAGATGCAGAACTTCTTTACTATCAAAAGTATGAATGTTGGGAACGGCAACACAGTCAACAGTGAACTGGAAGATGGTAATGACTCTTATGACTTTGATCATGATGACCCGACAATACCATTGTTGTGGAAAGGTAAGGCTAAGCAGACAGGAGCTGAACAAAAGGTTGCCATTAAGTATTTTGTCTATTGATGGTTCATATATTAATTACTAACTACTGCAGTCTTAAGCAGAATGATACAATATTGTCCATTTACTTTCTGTTGTTGTTTCTTTCTTTCTTTCTTTCTTTCTTCCACTACTTTCAGATAAATGTAATTTAGCTGAGCCTGTGAGGCGTTTCTTTCTTTCTTCCACTACTTTCATATAAATGTAATTTAGCTGAGCCTGTGAGGCAATATTAAATTATCCTAGTACATATTCTGTGCCTTATAAACTGCAGCAAAGCCTCTGACTGTGTAGATCATAAGAAACTATGGATTGTTCTGGAAGAAATGGGTTGTGCCTTAGCACTTGGTTGTTCTGATGGGTAACCTGTAATGTGGACAAGAAGCTACTGTAAGGACAGAATATGGAGAAATAAAATGGTTTCCTATAGGCAAAGGTGTCAGACAAGGGTGCATTTTATCTGTTCAATCTGTAAGCAGCACATATACAGAAAATCAAACTAGATTCAAATGAAAAAGGACTGAAAATTGGTGGAAGAAACATCAGTAGTTTAAGATACACAGATGACCCCATCTTACTGGCAGATAGCCGCAATGACCTGAAACAACTGTTTGTTTGTTAGCTTGTTAAATTTCTATACCACATCATCTAGTGTGTTGCCACTACTCTGGGCATTTTCTTTAAAAAAGCATAAATATAAAGAAGACGATCATCCCCCACCCGCCCACAACCACAATAATATTTAAAAACTCACAGAAAGCATGAGATGGCAGCTACCAACAAAAAGCAGTAAATGTGGAAAATCATTATATATATTTTAAAAATAACAATTGCAAAGAAAGGATGTCCTGAAACACCTCTCTGAAAAGCAATGATTTTATATGCTTTCTAAATACCAGGAAATCAGGGGCCTGGTGCACCTCCACAGGGAGATCATTCCACAGAGAGGCAGCCACCACTGAGAAGGCCCAATTCCTGGTCAAAGCCTGGGAGGTGTGAGTGGTATGGGTGCTAGATCTTAGGGAAAGGTGCTTCAACAGATACTGTGGTCTCAAACCTTTCAGGTCTTTAGAGGCCCAACTCCTGGTCAAAGCCTGGAAGGTGTGAGTGGTATGGGTGCTAGATCTTGGGGAAAGGTGCTTCAACAGGTACTGTGGTCTCAAACCTTTCAGGTCTTTATATATCAGCATTTCACTATTAGTGGAGGTGGAAAAAAAGTGGTGAAATAGGACTGCAGTTGAACATGCTGGATAGCTCAGTGGTTTAGGTTTAGGAGCCAGAAGCTGGGAGTTTGATTCCCAACTGTACCTTCTTCACAGGGGCTGGACTTGGTGATCTGTAGGGTCCCTTCTAGTTTTGCCATTCCAGGATCCTGACTACAGATTAGTTATACAACTTTAACATTGACAATGAAGAAAGAATAGTGTGTAACTTGTGTGTAGCAGACAAGACCATGTGGAAAGTACTGTATGCCCAAACCAAAAAGCAGTTTGAACACTTACTATGTTCAGACTATAGAGTATGGAAACAAAGAGTATTTGTTTCCTTGTTCATGTGTAACGTGTGACACTGAGTGAAGATCTGCAGAAGAACATAACCTTGCATGCAAGTGCTGGATTCAAGGGAGAAGTGTATTTTCTGACACTTCGATGCTGTATTCTGTCTGTTACTGGCAGCCCAAAGTGCAGGGTACGTTGCTCTTCATGAGTTTTTCAGTTAAGTTCCTAGTACTCTATGTGAAGAGATAACAGCTAAAAAACTAGTGCATTAATTAACATCTAGAAGTACTCACCTTTTGAACTGAGCAAGAAAAGATGGAATTCTGTATTGTTCAATTCACATTGTTTTAATGAAAAAACTAGTGAAATTCAAGAACACAACTAGTGAAATTAGTAACCACATAAGTCTCCTTGTGTTACTTCTTGCTTTTTTGGGTTTTTTTACCAATTCCTCATGAAAGAAAGCCCGAAAAACCCACAACAAAGTACACATCTGTCTCTGATTCTTTCTCTATGATGATTTACAAGAGTTTTTAAAATTGAAACTGGTATATGCATATACGCCTTGTTTTTCACACATAATCATGAGATTTGCAACCATTTCAAGCAGTGAGAACACTGAACCAGAGTACTCCATTCTTGGATTTTGTCTCTTGCTTTACTTTTGTTGTGGTTTTTACAAGTAAGAAGAAACAGTCATATGGGCTAGCTCAGTGAAAACTCATGAATCCGATTTCACTATGGCAGTAAATCTGCTCCAGGATTTTATCTGAACTTTCTAATAGCTGTCCAAGGAGCTGAACCATATTTCCAAACTATGCTCAGCACCTTGGTAGCTCCTTTAAAGAGGAAATCCTCCATCTTATGTGCCATTCGGTTCACTAGCCTCCCCTGGGCTGATCATTCACATAAAACTGACTTCATCAACTTTAGCATCCTCCAGGTATGTTGTATTGATTTGAATTCCTGCATTGAGCCGGGGGTTGGTCTCTATAGCCTTATAGGCCCCTTTATGATTCTCTGATTATGTCTTCCATTAGAATTCCAGTTTGAGGGGGAAACTGATGTATCACACTCTAAATCTGTACTGTGTAAGTTCAGCTCAAAATTAAACTATTTACCTATATATTAACCTATATATGCCCTTGTTTGTTACCTCTCCTTCCCGAGCCAGGACATTATGTCTGGATTATAAAGCCTAGAATCTCCAGTAGGCATTCTAGTTGGGGGATTCTAAGAGTTGTAGTCCAAAAACTTATTCAACTTCTTCTCATAGCCACTAGTCAGCAGCTTTTTTTGTTGCTAGGCAAAATATGTATGTCCCCACTTTCTGTTGCCCTGGCGATCGTCTTTCACATTTCTTTGGGGTGGGAATTTTACTTTGCTCCAGTCATGATTTTGCCAAAGCAGAGCGCCCTTCTAGCTTTGCACGCTGCATCTAGCAAAGAAGTCTGGGTTGTCTGTTAACACCTCTCCCTGGTCAGAGAGGTTTGACTCTCACCTTAATCTTCTCCCAGTATATGAGTGCAAAGCCTGATTGTTTTCGAACAAAGAGCACCTGCTCACTCCCTGCTGCCTTCTTCATCCTAACAGCAGGGATTTTATTACTTGAGGGTGAGAATAAAAGGGAGGTTCACAGACTGCAAAGCTGCCTTTGAAGCTTGTAACTTTTATTGCTTTCAAGAGCTGTGACTGGTGAAATATAAAAGCTTCTATTACTGGATTCTCATATATAAAAACCTTTTTACCTGGAGGAAAATCCAATTTCAGAGATGAGCCTTATATGTAAGAAGTGAAGATGTGTACTTTTGCAGCTAATGTTCATGTTTTGACAATAGCTCACTGGCTGGACACCCCTATGCGTTTTTTGTGATGACCCACACACGTTTGGCTTTGCTTCCTAGCTGGTCAATAAAAACCTACCGTAATAAAATACCAAGGGTGGGTTTGTGCAGGACATGGATCAGATGTGTATACAACTCATCCACATTCCAGAACGTTAGCTTGATTGTCTTCTGCATCAACAACAATAACAATCTTCTAGTGTTTTAAAGGTTAACATGTACGTGAGTTTGAAAGCAAGTGGAAATCTAGCAGTGATTTTCATCTTTAGCTTCCTGAACACTTTGCAGTAGACAGGCCCTTAGTGAGGAACAGGAGCTTGCCTTTGAAGTTTTGTTTTGTTTTGTTTTGCTCATTGGTTTCAAAAGCACTTCCAAGCAGATGGTGGAACTGGATCCATCTGGACCAGGCAGGAGAGCATCATGATCAACAGCTATCAGAATCACCTGGTCTGTAGTATATTTCTGCCCTCGATGATGATCAAGTTGTGAATGAAGAGAAAAGCAGTTGAATTGCATAGGTAGTTAATGGCCATAGATGGACAAGCCGTCCCCTATGATTTTGGGAACAGCCCCCTGCTCAGCCCACAGGTATTCTTACTGCACTGTCCCCCGAGATTTCAGCAAAGCTCCAAACAATCAGGAAACCTGTTTATTTCTCTTAGCAACCTGTGAATTGTTTGGAATCAGTCAAACTTTAGGCCAATCTTTTCTTTAGGCAATAACTAGGTTTTAGCCCAGAGCTTCAGAATCTTACTGAGTTCATGGTCATTTTTTAAAAAATATAAATGTTATTGGTTGGTCTTCAGTAATGATTAATGTTACTTATTCATTACTAATGTGTTATTAAGGTACCACTTATTGACTGATTTACACAAAATCATTTTAATAATCCAAAAAAATTCCTGAAATGTCCAGAAACTGCCTTAGAAAAGATAACTTTATGAAATAATATTTTCATTTTGCAGAAATAAACTTAATCAAAATGCTTGAAAGTAGTGGCATTGGCTCTTCTTAACCAAAAAGATGAAGAGCAATAAGTAACATTATTTTTAACATATTATATTATATTACATATTATATCCATAGTATATTCTAAAGGTTCCCCTTGACAATTTTTGTCCAGTCGTGTTCGACTCTAGGGGGCAGTGCTCATCCCCGTTTCCAAGCCGTAGAGCCAGCGTTTTGTCCGAAGACAATCTTCCGTGGTCCCATGGCCAGTGCGACTTAGACACGGAACGCTGTTACCTTTCCACCGAGGTGATCCCTATTAATCTACTCACATTTGCATGCTTTCGAACCGCTAGGTTGACGGGAGCTGGGACAAGCGATGGGCGCTCACTCCATCACATGGATTTGATCTTACGACTGCTTGGTCTTCTGACCCTGTAGCACAGGCTTCTGCGGTTTAGCCCACAGCGCCACCACGTCCCTCTTAGTATATTCTAACGTCACCTAAAAGTCACTGTAGATAAGTTCTTAGAGGCCCGTCTTATATTTTTATTTACCGTTCTTAAGTCTCTGTAATTGTTTTCTCAGTCTGGTCTGGCACTCATGCCAGTTTTGCCTAGTTTCTTCATCTCAGAAGCCCAATCCCATTTATCTGGGGCACATTCCAGCATAATCTCCAGGCCACCAAGTTCCTGACTATCTGCAACATATAATTTCGAGTTCTAAGATGAACAGATGGAAATAACAAAGCGAGAGAATGGAACTCATTAATAGCAGAGGAGTCATATGTGTCTAAGCAGTTAATGTTCAGTTCATTCTTCCTGCCTATAAGCCACAACTTTGATGCAACTGTAAAGTGCTTCTTCCATCCTTCTGAATCCTTCCAGGCTCTTCATTTGCACTCCTCAACCTTATTAACACTCTGAGGGTTACGTTCTGCAGTGAATGGAAACTGTGCTGATGCTTTTCTGTTGATGCATTGTGCACTTCAGAGACATTGCTAAAGAAATCCACCAGAGAGTTATCATTTATAAGATCAACTCCTTGAAAACACCACAGCTTCCTCTTTCATTGAAGTCCAATGATTCAGTGAAAAGCATAGTTGACCTCTTATTCTTGGTTATAATCTTATTTAATGGATTTCTTACACTGAGAGGGTGAACATTGAAGCAAGTGAAAAAAGTCCGAAAAAATAAATAAATCATAAAATGCTGAAAGCTAGAATATGTTAGTCACGCAATGAGGACTGAAAAGTACCCATTGTTACAGCTCATCATTCAAAGTAAAAACGGAAAGAAATGCAGGAAGAATAAGAACCTATTGGTTGAAGAACCTGGGAGGCTAATTTGGTAGCGTCATTGTTTAGGCCTGCCACATCAAAAATCAAGACACTCATGAGGATGTCAATTGGGAAAAGAACAACATAGGAAGAATGGCCCTTAACATTCCTGCAGCACTCTTATCGAAATGTTAGAAGTGGTTCCGATGATTCAGTCTTCCTCAGCCTAGTTCCTTGCAGAGATGTCATATTACAGGCCCCATTATCTGTAACAAATGAAATAGTCCATCATATTACACAACCTGGGTTGGGGAATTCACACAGATTATCTCAATAATGCCTGCAATAATCCCAACAGATAGATAGTTTCATCCCTCCCAATAATGAACAGCCCATGTCTTGGGGCTGAAGCTAAGAGATAATAGCATGCCTAAAGCTGTCCCAAGTTTCTGTCTTAAGTTGAAACTTGCACCTTATGCATGCCTTTCCCAACTGGGCACCCTTCAAATGTGCTGAGTTGTAATGCCCTGCATACCTATGTGTGGAATTCTAGCATTCCACTGGAGCTGGAGATTACAAGAGATAGGTGGACTTAGTAGCACTTTAAAAGTGTGCCACTAATACCTTGCCTGGTTACTGAGGATCAGTAGCACCATAGGTAAGGTGCAACCCCAGGTGCTTCTTGTCAGCCATAATCAGCAACTTTCCACCACTTGCTCCCACCAAAATCTACCCGGACCACCCGCGCGAGCCAGGGGGTGAGGCTGAGGAGCCTGGCGCTGATGGAGGCCTGGTGGGAAAAGACGCGAAACCGGGCCTTCTCGGCGGTGGCTCCTCGCCTTTGGAACAATCTCCCTCCTCAGAGTCGCGCGGCCCCTACTCTGGGTACATTTAAAACGCAAGTAAAAACATGGCTCTACATCCAGACCTTCCCTCCTGCTAGCATGTAATCTGATTTGACCTAATTTCCTTCCTTTTTTCTATCTATCATTTATTATCTTTGATATATTGTCAGTTTTGTCAGTATTTGATGTTTATGGACTTTATTTTAATTGTATATCCTTTGCTGTTAGCCGCCCAGAGTGGTATGATATACCAGATGGGTGGGATATAAATCAAATAAATAAATAAATAAATAAATAAATAAACACACATTTCTTCCTTCAAAGGTGGCCATTTTAAAAGCTGACATCTTCAGTGCCTCTGTTAGATATATAATGAAACCACATGATTTCCTTTGCTTGCATCTCTGAAGAAAAATGCTCAAGTGCAAGGAAGTGTACACAGTGCCTTTGGGCATTTTAAAAATTTGTAGTGCCATCATCATTCATGCTTTGTTCTCACATCCCCAAATATAGTACGGAGTTTTTGGAAGGCAGGTATCACGACTCAACAAAAATGAAAGCAGCAGGGAAGACTTGAAGTCCTTAGACTGTCTAGCTCGCCAAAGTCTGGAAAAGTTACTTTTTAAAGGCGTATAACTCCCTGAATTTTCCAGCCACCATGGCCACTGATTGAAGGGCATGGGAATTACAGTTCAAAAATGTAATTGTCCCAAAGCTCTTAGCTAAAGCATCTGGCATATATTGCCAGGTATTAGCCTTTGGCTCTGATACTCAGGTTTTGAAGTACATTCTGCAGGTGTAAGGCTTTGATCCTGAAATTTCAGAGAATCAGAGGCTGCTGACATAAGAACCCTGACATACTGAGGATCACTCAGAGATCTACAAATAGATCAATATTTTCTTTAGTTCCACCATTGGTTTAGAAAACAGTGTTCCTGTTCCTTTTACCAAGGTACTGGCAGTAGGCTTCAACCTGAAAATTGTTCTCAGCAAGCCCTGGTATATTGGCCTTCAAATTTTGTCTCCACAGTGTCTGTCACGCACAGAGCATTTTGTTGTGATTGCTTGGAGGGCTTTGTTCCTTATGACATCTCAAGGGTGAAGTCTTTATAACATCACCCTTCTGTTCCAGGTTGGGGGCCTGAAATTGCAGGAACTGTACTCCTGTTGATGTAGCAACTCTACGTTTAGCTGTGATGGAGCCAATTTAAGTAGCACCATTTCAAACAAGAGATTGGTCAGGGACCGCTTGGTCTACTTTTGCAGCTCAGTAGGAATGTTGAGGGGTCGCAAAGAGTCAGACACAACTCTTCCATAGGGTCATGAAGAGTCGGACACAACTCTTCCATGGGGTCATGAAGAATCGGACACGACGACGACTAAACAACAACAAGGAATGTTGAAGCAGAAGGTGCTGTAAATGAGCAATGTGCACAGCTATCTCAGGTAAAAGGGTTAGGGAATTCAGATAGAAAACTACCTTCTATGCTGATTGTGTCTTCTGTTGTGTTTCTAAAATTGTGTTCGCAATTTATTGTTGTGTACTTAATTGTATTTATATTTGATCATCATCCTCATCTTAGAACTACAGAGTTGGAAGGGACTCTTGGATCATCACATCCAGCCCCATCAAGGAGGCACAATGGGGGATATTTATGTGTTTAATGTTAAGCTTTTAATTAAGATTTTGTTTCTGATTTGGATTTTGGCATTGCTGGCTGCTATGAGTTCTTTCTTGGCAGAAAGGCAGGGTGTTAAAGAAATACATACAGAAAGCAAGGAGAAAGTTTCCAACCTACCATCTCATTGATGTGTCATCCCTCTCTCCCCGCAGGACTTTGATGCATAGGGAATTATTTTAAAATATTATTATTTTATTATTTTAAAATAGGATTGTATCCCCAGCTGCTGTCAGGGTCATGCAGTTCAACTTTGTTCCTACTTACCGTAATTATTTTCCTTTTGTAGTTTAGACAGTTGACTGTGCAAACTCAGCCCACTTTTTGTACCTTTTCTCTACACCTTCATATTGCCTCTCACATGTCCCAGTTGGACACTGCATTTCTTAAGCGGGAGAGAGAAATCAGCAAACTGAACTCAGCCCTGGGTAGCTTTGTAGAAGACAGTGCTTCTCTCCAGGATGCAGTTTAAAACAAAATGTTGGTTGGGGCTCTTTCTTATCTCTCTTTTCTATCTTTAACTATGTTTGAAATAACAGGCATGCAGTCATCATGTGTGAGACTTTTCTAAGGAATCTTCTTTTATCCTTTTGCTTTAGCTCTGTGTTTTCCCAGATGTGCAGAGCTTTCAGCCTGGAATTATGCACTAATGGTTTGTTTATTTATTTTCCACACATACACTAAACTTTCCTGTTGCTCTTAACGTAAGTAACCAACTATAAATACATGTGTGTGTATATATTTTTAAACGTCAATAACTGGGCAACAAATAATGCTATTGCCCCTCACCCCTTCCCTTCTCTGACTTCCCTTTTTTTTCTGGGGTTAATATTTTACTTCACTGCAGTGTGTATTCTAACACCATATGTCTCCTGTCTGCTAAGCCTTACTGTACCTCCTTTGTCTCGCTGATAGCATTTGTTGTAATACTTGCATGCACTTATTATGTTTTCCTTTTATTAATACTCAGAGCTATGTGCTTTATATCTGGGTTTAGAAACAGAGATGTATACTGTAAAGCTTCCATTTTTATATAGATAATCAGAAATCCACCAAAACAAGCTTTCACTAAGCTGTACGCTAGTGTGACGTCTAGTAAAGGTAGATATGATACTCTTAAAATTGTGATTGTACCATGAACTTGTTCTTTTTTAAATTTTATTCTATTTTGATCAACAGCAACACTAATTTTTCAGGAGTTATCTACTTTGTCTCAGTCATTAGCAAGTTGTTAGCATCAGCATCACTGTTATTACTACAGACAAATAGGTTTTGAGACTTACTGGTTTTGATGGGTAATATTGAACATGTCTCACACTTCCAAGAAGGAAGAATTTTGATTGTATTATAGTTTTTATTATGAATTATCTGAAAATATTTGAATGTAGAGCCAAACCTGCAAAATAACAATAGCAGCAATGATAACAAAAATAATAATTGTAAGCTAAAGAGATGGAGTTAGGATGAAGGGCAGTCTATTCCCACACAAAGCCAATCTGTCCTCACATAACCACATCTTGAAACGCTCTTCTTAATGTGCAGCCTTACCCGGATGCATTTCGAAAATCAAATAATTCAAGATTTTTAACATTTCAAACTGAAATCTGAAGGTACTATTGTGAGGCAAAGAGAGGAAAGAAAAGCACAGTGAAAAAGGTACATTAACCATTGGTGTTGTGATCAATAGTGAAGGGAATGCAACAATATGGCCGAAATTCCGTGGTGATGGTCGATGAGATAATTTGTTCCAGTCCTCCGAAATATCGTTTTCCTGAAGCTGGCTTGCGAATAATGATCACAAACAAATTTGGACCAAGAACCAGGCTACGGATGGCAAGCAGGATCATTATTAACGAGGTAAGTCTACAAAGATGATACTAGTTGAAACAAAGTAAATGAATCATTTTATATTTTTGTGATTCCTTTAATTTTTATTATATATTTGTTTATGGAGCAATCAAGATATATGGTACTTTGCAAAAATTTATTTTTCAAAGCTATTTACCCAAAGAAATTACTGTTGAAAGGACACAGAAGGTCCCAGATTGAGCTCCAGGACCTGGAAAAAAAACTCCTGCCTGAAACCCTGGAAAACCATTACTGCTATATAGGGTGAACAATATAGGCCTTGATGGACCAAAATTCTGGCTCCAGAAAAAGCAGCTTTCTATGTTCCCAGGGACAGGAAAGATAAAAATAGCAAGAAAGTGATGTAACTTCCATTGTGTTGAATTCACACATGTACTAAGAGCAGAGAATCAATGGGTGTTAAGTTGGTCACAACTAAGATATCCTGTTGATTTCTGTGTGTCTGTTCTGAGTTAATCTGGATCCATTTCATTATTAGAAGGACTTCTTCGCTCAACACACAATTAATGTATGGAATTCACTGCATCAGCATGTGCTGGTGGCTACTGGTTTAGATGAAGTAAAATAGGATTAATGCATCCATGGAGGAAAAGTCTATCAATAGCTATTAGTCTGGACACAGTGTTGAACAATCATGTTCAGAGCAAAGCTGTGAAAAGTTACTTTTTTGGACTATTGACAGGTTCTCTGACCATTAGGGCCTTGCTTACAGGGCACGTTTGGGAGCTATAATCCCAAAAATAATTTTGCCATGCTTTGGTTTTGAGGCATTATGCTGGCGAACAAAAATGTGAACAAGTTCTTACATTCATGTTCTGTTGGTGGCCTTCCTAGAAGCAGTCATCTAATTACTTTAAGAAACAAGTGCTGGAATAGATTGATGTTTGGTCAGAATCAGCAGTCCTCATTGCACATTCTTATGTTATGGAATGAAAATGTAGGGAAGGTTAAGCAAGCAACATCTGTAGCATCAATTGAGTTGGAGTACCTTTTGTAAAGTTTAGTCCAGTGTTTAGAAAACACTGTCAGTCCAAAAGTTGTAGACTTCACCTTCCAGAAATCCCACCCCATGGGCAAAGGTCCTCACAAGACTGGGACTTGTAGTCCAAAAAAAATACTGTATCAGGAGGACCAAACATTGTCTTGTCTAATTCTGAGAAAGAGGTATTTGAGATAGGAAAGAAGTACTTCTAGCTTTATTGATATGACAGCACAAAGTTCAGTCCATAGATGTAGCTGTATATGTCATATTATGGCAATTGTTATAAGGTATGATTACAAAAAAGGAGACTTTTCCATAAAGATAAATATGCTAGACATTGGGTGGAGTTACATACATACATACCCATGTAGTTCACTTCCATGAATGGGCTAGAACAATATTTGAATTTTAGCCATAGAGGAGCATCAAGGCCAACAGGTATGTTCAGTGAGGGTGGGGGGAATTAGATGGCAAAACCAAACAAAAAATAAAAACAAGTAAGATCAGAAAACTCTTGGAAATCATTTGAGAATATTTACTGGATTTGATTTATATGTTTTCTAGCGCCAGAGATTAATCCAGTCTTCTAATGGGAAGCTCATCCAGAATGGGAAACATGAAAATATTGAAAATGGGGCCATCCACATGGGTAACCAGGAAGAGGAACATGAACATGTCAACTTATCTCCATTTTCACTTCCAGGTAAATCTGAAATGCTTATTATAGAATGAATGAGGAAGATAGATTATCCTCCCTTGAAGAGCTACTCAAATAGTTAAGGTTCCAAATTCTACTTCCCATACTCCCAATACATGACAGTATCTTTCTCTATCTTGTATAAGCTGTTTCCCCTTCCTCTAGTCTTCATTTGTCTGGTCTATATGAATCCAGTGAAGGCTGGATAAGCACAGTTGAGCTGTTTTTCAACCGGAGCTCCCAGCAGCAAAATGTTGAGTAATGTTTCGTCTTCACCTGGAGCTGAATCCCAAGATATTACATTTTCACACAGGTAGAATTATTTAACTGCAACAAAAGTAGTCCTGACTCACTATATCAGGATGTGATCCTACTAAAAACAAATTCATATGCCTTATTGGCTTCATACTTTGAGACATGTTACCTAATCACTGATGTCATTACAAGTATAAGGCTAATTTAAGTATGTATGCCACAGTGGTTTAGATGTATATGCCACAGTGGTTTATGTCAGCAGTTCTTAACCTTGGGTTATTCAGGTGTTTTTGGACTGCAACTCCCAGAAGCCTTCACCACCAGCTGTGCTGGCTGGGGTTTCTGGGAGTTGCAGTTCAAAAACACCTGAGTAACCCAAGGTTAAGAACCACTGGTTTATGTCACTAAGCAAATGAGCTGAAGGAAACTATAGGATGTGGATAGGCCAATTCTATAGATTTGCATTATATGCGCTGTTACATTCAGTGATTTGTACTGACAGCAGTCAGGATGGTTTCCAGTTCGAACTTTCCCAGCTGCAGACCCAGGGGGGTGGGAGTTCAGTGTCCCACTGTGCATCCCAAAAGAGCCATCCTATATGGTTTTGGGCAAGCTGCATAGTCCCAACCCTAACCCCTACCCACCCCCGCCAAAGAAGGGAATGGTAAACCAGTTCTTAGTATTCTCTGCCTGGAAAACTCTGAACATGGATTGCCATAAGTCAAAATTGATGGCACACAGTTGTTATTAATTATCTGTTGCTTGCCATATTTCGCTAGTAGATTTTGTGAAGAAGAGGCTGGAAATTTGCTTTTGAGGATTGCAACCCTTGGGATCCTACAACCAGTTTGGTAGTCCAGGTTGTAAGGAGCATTTATCCTCTGCTATGCATGTTTTTGTTTTGTTTGTCCAAAAAAGGAGCATTTATCTCCTCTGCTATGCATGTTTTTGTTTTGTTTTTTGCTTCAGAGCACTCCCTGTTGACACACAAATGTGCTAAAGTGCTGTGCAAATTCCCTCTTCCTCCTCTTAAGAATATTTATATGAATAACACTTACAGGAGCAAGAAGGGCACATCTAGAGTAAAGACTGGGTTAATAATCAGCCCATCTTTTCAGGCAGCCTGAGAGGCATCATCACAAGGATGAGCCTGGTGAACGTTCTTGAAAAGAAAGTTCTTGGCTTCTTTAGACTGAAACTCAGAAATTTTATGGAAGGTCAAGAGAGCTGCATTAATGGAAAATATGTGTATATGTCTGTCTGCTTATGTACCTGAAGCAATTGATTGTAATAAATAGATCAGCCCTAATGCTTGCTTTCAGATTTGCACAAATTGGATCCCTCTTAATAAATGCTGAGTTTGCAAAATTTTATCTTTATGTGGCAGAAAAGTAGATGAAGAGATGAGTAAGTTATTTATAAGCAAGCCATTTAGAAGACAGAGGCTGATGTTTAGAACAGGGCTCTCCACCTTGAGAATTCATTTGTTGTTAGGTCTCAGCTCCCAAAATTCCCAGCCAGCATGACCTGTAATGCTGGATTCTAAGAACTGCAGTTGAAAATATCTGGAGGGCCAAAGACTGAGGATTAGTAGACTGTAATAGTCAGCTGAATTAATACAAAAGCAGACATTTGTGCCATTAAGCTCAGCTGGAGACACATGATTCAAGTAGACTTATCTGGCTGAGAAATCTGAATCCTGTAGCGTAGACCACTCTTAAAACAAAGCCAGTTTATTTGCATGCTACAAGCTCCTTAAGAGTAGCTCCTTTTGTGACAATTGTACACGATCAGCTTTAGGTGATTTTTCTGTTCTGATGAAGAATTGGCTATAATATGTGACTCAGTAACTCAGTCACTGGCTATAATATGTGATTCAGGAACTCAGAAGAGTTACTGAGGGGACAGTAAGAGAGAGAATGAAGGCTGGTGGACAAGAATGCTATTGAAGGGGAGAGCCAGGTGATGTTAGTTGGTGGCCTTTGGTAATTTTAGAGTCTGGTTTTATAGTTTTAAGAGGACTCTGCTGTTTAGATGGTAATGTGTATTAGTACACTTGCTTTAAAGTGTAGTAAGTTAGCACTGCTGCATTTGGGCACCTTTCTGCTTATTTTGTCAACTGTTGCCCTGGATATCTGCTCCAAAGTCCTGCCCTGAATGTATCATGGGATAGATTATTCAACAGAACCATTATTGATTACACTTTATGAAAGTGCAACTTGATTTTAGTTGTTACATTCCCTACATAAATAAATATGCCTGCCTACTGATTTAATTGCACCTGTGTTTCAGTCTGTATGAGTTTTGTAAATAACTTACTTTGTTGGTGGATTACACAGCCAAGTAGGTAAAAAGGAGACACTTATCGCTCCCTCTATATCAATCGGTGGAGATCCACTGTGATCTGCTGTTTTTCCAAGCAGGTCTCTGATGGTTTCCATGAGTGAAATTGCTGTTGCTGTAGTCGTCCAGACAAGTTTCTCATAAAAGACAGACAAATCAGTTGTGAGAACAGCAAAATGCTCCTGGATGAAGTCAGCCTCCTCACACACTATTTCCCAAAGAATTGACAACCTCTACCAGGTTCATGATCCCAATTCTGTCTTTCTGCAAAAGCAGCCTGCCCCTAACTCCATTGTTGTTGAAGCATCTCAATCTTGCTCTCAACATCGACAAAACCTTATTCTGCCTAACAAGGACAGTGGTGTTACATACAGCACTGATGTTACCTGTCTGTCATGGGTTTGGAGGGAAAGTTCCATCCTATGGGGGTGGAAGGCGGGACATCAGGAGGAGGGGCTGTACTGTATATATATGTGGAGTTTGTGTGGAGAAGTTAGGAGAGCTGAGGGAGAGCTGAAGGAGAGCTGAGAGAAGAAGCTGGTGTGGGAGTCTGTGTGTCAGACAGGGTACAACTGTGTGTCAGTCAGTACCAACCTGATAGGTTCAGGTGTCTGTATGGTTAGCCAGAACTGATAGGTTCAGGGTCTGTGCTTTATTTAAAGGTGTTCTGTGTGAACCAAACTGGTGTATGTATGATTGAGACTAAGCCACGTTACTGTATCTTATTCACTTGATCATTTTATTTTCCCTGTGTGTGATTTAAATAAACCTTATTCCTTTATTTGTTAAAAATCCATCCCTGGTCTGTGTGACTTCTTATAGGGAATGGTTGGTGGCAGCTTAGTGAAACTGTGGCATGTCCCAGTTGTCCCAGGATGCATCAACTCAATGGGCTGCTGGCTCTATTCCTCTTCAGCCTTGACAGTGTAGGTTGTCCTTCTTATGAGACAACATGTCTCCCTTAATCGAAGCACTGCCTATCACAAACTTTTCAACTAGAAGGCTTCTTGGTGGTTAAACAACAAATGCTTGCAGCACACTACACTGTTGATACCACCTCTAAATTTATGGCTACCTCCATTGCACCTCACGGCTTTTCTTGGCTTAGAACAACAGGCCTGTGTGGAAGATGCTTGTGCCCACGCCCATTGCACTTCACGGCTTTTCTTGGCCTGTGTGGAAGATGCTTGTGCCCACGCCAAAGACCTTCCCTTCAGTGGTGTGGGTTTGTTCAATACTGAGACTGATGATATTCTGGAAAATGTACAGAAGACGTGGATGGCTGTGAGGCGCTGGGGACTTTGCCGTACATACCAACAGCATCCACAACTTGTGCACACAGTGATGCCATCCCTTCACGGCTTTTCTTGGCCTGTGTGGAAGATGCTTGTGCCCACGCCAAAGACCTTCCCTTCAGTGGTGTGGGTTTGTTCAATACTGAGACTGATGATATTCTGGAAAATGTACAGAAGACGTGGATGGCTGTGAGGCGCTGGGGACTTTGCCGTACATACCAACAGCATCCACAACTTGTGCACACAGTGATGCCATCCCTATACCTCCTACCAGAGGTTTCGTGGATGGCTGTGAGGTGCTGGGGACTTTGTCCTACATACCAACAGCACCCAAAACTTGTGCACACAGTGACGCCATCCCTATACCTCCTACCAGAGGTTTCAACAAGAACCTCAGAGGCAAACAACCACTGCCCCTTATTAGAAGCAGCAATCCTTCCATCCTAAGAACCTCCAATGAAACACGACTGCAAGCCCAAGCATCATGTTTGGTATTTCACTGGCTGAGATCTTACTACCACCTTCCCCTCACTACCCGCCTCCACTCATTCTGTGGCAACACTCAAACCACTGCCCCTTATTAGAAGCAGCAATCCTTCCATCCTAAGAACCTCCAATGAAACACGACTGCAAGCCCAAGCATCATGTTTGGTATAAAACACCATGACTGCAAGCCCAAGCATCATGTTTGGTATTTCACTGGCTGAGATCTTACTACCACCTTCCCCTCACTACCCGCCTCCACTCATTCTGTGGCAACACTCACCTGCGTGGAGGAACAACATAATCACACATGCTTGGGTTCTGTCCATCATCGAATTGGGGTACCATATAGAATTCCACCAACTCCCTCCATCATTTCACAACATCACACCTCCATTGGTAACCCTGCAGGAAATAATACATTCTTTATTACTCAAAGACGCCATAGGACCACTGCCACTCCACCACACAATGAAAGGGTTTTTCTCTTGATATTTCACAGTCCCTAAAAAGGACGGTAGCTTTCACCCTATTCTAGAACTCAAGGACGTGAATCAGTATATTACCACTACTAAGTTTCACATGGATACTCTCGAGTCCATTCTTCCTCTGCTTCAAAAGAAAGATCGGATCACAGGCATCAGTTTATGGGACGGCTACTTCCACATTTCCATCAGTCTATCCCTCAGGTCTTACCTCCGCTTCCAGTTCAGGTGTCAGGCCTATCAGTTCAGAAGATTACAATTTGAACTGGTCACAGCAGCTTGGGTGTTTACAGAATGCATGCCCCCCCCCGAGCAACCAGTGCCATTCTAATAGCTCTGTGGTGGCCATGTCAACGCCGGTTTTTGGCTCTGCATCAACTGGCATCCAAAGTCTATCACCTTCCTCATCTTCCTCACCTTCTCATCAAAAACAGGGCTCAGATCCCCCACCCAGATCTCCCAAGATTTCATCTGGCAGCATGGAGGATTCTTCCTTCATGATGAATGTCCTCCATCAGGCCAGGAAACCCTCCACCAGATGGGCCTATTTTTATAAATGAAAAAATTTTAAATCCTTCAGTTCTTCAGTAGTCCGGTCACTGACTAATTCTTCACACAGTTTTATGTTCCCTTCTACACCTTAAGCGCCGAGGACTTCCGATGTCATCACTTAGGGTATCTCTCTCTACTATTGTTGGACATCAGTTACTAACCTGTCCAGCTTCTCAATTCTTCAAACATTCTTCAATCTGCAAGCGGATTAACATATATAACCTGACGTCCACTCCTCCCCGCCACGGTGGTCATTGACATTAGTACTCAAGACATATCACACGGGCTCTCTTTGAGCCACTAGCATCCAGATCTATTCCTTCTAACATTTAAAACTGTATTCCTTGTGGCAATCACCTCCACATGACACGCCAATGGGCTGATAGCTCCACGCTCTGACTATCCTTACCTTCAGCTCCACCCTGACAAGGTTCGTCTCTTTAGGGACATTTCATTCCTTCCGAAAGTTGTATTTCAGTTTCAACTCTCTCAGCTTGTGGTCCTTCCGTTCTTTTTTCCATCTCCATCCACTCTTCAGGAACTCATCCTTCACACTTTAAAGTTTAGATGTTAGACATGCTCTTGTCTTTTATGTGGTCCACACGTAGCCCTTTCGACAGTCTCCTCGAATGTTCATCAGCTGCCAGCCCCCCTCAAGGGGACTCTAAATCACCTTCCAACACATCTCCAAGTGGGTCATCTCTGCTATTCAACTCACCTACCAACTTGCACATACACCAGTACCACAGCCTCTCCACCCACATTCCATGAGAGCCTTGGCAGCATCCACAGCTTTCCTGTGTATAACCTTCCTCCAGGATATCCGCACATCCGCCACCTGATCACAGCAGTCTATCTTCATCAACCACTACCAGTTAGATGTTCAGCTGAAGTCTGATGCAGCTTTTGGAAGAGTTATACTTTCTTCTACTTTGGTGTGACACCCTCCTCTGGGTGAGCTAGCTTTTTAGTCACCCAGAGTGTGATTCACAGAGGCCACAAAGAAGGACAGGTTACCTACCTGTAATTGTAGTTCTTTGAGTAGTCCTCTGTGATTTACACATCCCGCTCATTATCCCCACTGTCATCCCCTCACTTACAGCAGTGGTTGACTTGAAGGGAGAGCCTTGGTGCCAAGGTACATGTACGGGGAGAAGGGGTTTGTACTAATGTGTCTTTGGCTGATCCGAGAAGCTCTAGAATATTGTGATGAGACTCCACGCATGCATGGATCACCCGGAGTGTGAAATTTTAAATCCTGTTCTATTTCCCTCATTGTTAAAATGGAGGACTGTTGACTTGGCTTCATTTACATACATTTTTGCTTTAATTATGCTTAAACAGAAGTAAGATTTTTATATAGAAAACTTACTAAAAGAACATTTTGCTTTCCTGTCTTTGCTATTCAGAAGGAAAAATGGAAAAAGTGAAATGGATTCTGACCTGGCCATTGATATTCATCCTGTTTTTCACCGTTCCAAACTGCAGTAAACCACGCTGGGAAAATTTTTTCATGTTGACCTTCATCTTATCCACCCTATGGATTGCTTTGTTTTCCTATTTTATGGTGTGGTTGGTAAGTGGATGCTTTTTTTTAAAAAAAATGCAAACTGTTTTTCAACAGGGAACTTGGTTTTGAAGTAATGTTGGAAAGAGCAGGCATCTGTAATAAGGAGGAACAATGTGTAACATTACAGTTAAAAGAACTATTGGTTCTTTTGTTTAGTGTTACACATATATAGTGACAAGTTTGCCTTATCTATAGTCAGAGAGGTGGAAAGTTAGATTTTTTGGAGCGTAGCGCCTAGAATAACCTGGCCAGTGGCTCTCTTGACTGTAGTCCAAAAAGGTGTTGTCTCCCATCTGTGTTTATAGGACAGCTATTCCTGTTCTTCAGTACTTCAGGGATCTGGAGGGAAGGTAGCTTTGATTGGGCAATCTCCTTGGTGGATGGTGGGAATGCTGTAGACATACTGTATCTTGACTTCAGCTAACCTTTGACAAAGTGCCCCATTATATTCTGATTAGTAAGCTAACTAGGAGTGGGCTGGATAGAACAAGTGTCAGGTGGATACACGGTTACAGAATAGTACTCAGAGGATGATGATTAATGGCTCTTTCTCAAACTGGGAGGAGGTAACAAGTGAGGTATCTAGGGTTCAGTCCTGGGCCCTGTGCTCTTCAACATTTTTATTAATTACTTGGATCAGAGGGTGCAGGGAATACCTATCAAATTTGTGGATGGCACAAAATTGGGTGGAATAGTTAATATCTTGGAAGACAGAAACAAATGTCAGAAAGATCTTGATAGGCTTAGCTGGAAAACAACAGAATGAAATTTAACAGGGATGAGTTAGAGCAGTATGACAATGGAACCAATTACCTTTGGAGATGGTCAGTGCTCTATCACTGGAGGCATTCAAGAGAAAATTAGACAACCATCTGTCAGATCTGCTTTGATTTGGATTCCTGCATTGAGCAGGGGGTTGGACTCACTGGCCTTATAGGCCCCTTCCAACTCAATTATTCTATGATTCATGTAGTGGAATACACAGAAAATGTCAACGCACATGGCCCTTCTCATTTATCTATGAACACTGACCTGTGCGACACAGGTGCGCTAAGAATAATCAAGGAGCTCTACATGTAGTCATTGGGTTGTGAGTGACACCTTGGCTGAGATAGTGTTTGGTTCCTGGATGAAGCTAAGCTTTTGCTTGAGACAGGTGAGTGGGCAGTTGAGAGAAGAAACATCTGTGGTAACTTCTGATTTGATTGGTCACATTTGATCTCTTTGCTGGGTCTGTTGGGAAGAAAATGGGTTGTATGTTTCTTCTTCTTTTTCTTTTAAAGTTCTCTATTTTGGTTTTATTTTGAGCTGGATTTCTTTTTCAAACCCTGTTAATAAATTCCCCTTACTCCCTCTTCAGTAGAATTAGCATACTCTTATATGAATATGGCCAGCATGACCCTTTGTGCAATAATCCTCCAGCTTTTTCACTTCTTCTTTTTTCAAAACTAGAACGACCGTAATTGCATTGTGAAAAGAAATAAATCATGAGAAATATAAATGAGGAAGCAAAATGAGTCATAATAATGACATTAATAAACACTATCCACCTCCAAACAAGGTGGTTTTGCCCCTGTTCTGTAGTGGTAACATAGTTGGTTAGTTTCAGCATTAGCACCCAGAGTCAGGGATTGGAACATTACTTTTGTAAAGAAGTCAGTTCCTATTAGAATTGTAATGAACACCATCAAAGAAGTTCAGCTATTCAAATGAACATACTTCCCATTTCTTAAGAATAACTATAATTCATTAGCTTTTGAGTTACTTGTTATTTTTCAAAATTGAGTACTGGAAGCCACTGTCATGTGGTACAAAATGTACTGTTCGTATCCATGGCATTATTCCCTCAGTGCTCACAGCGCAGCAACCTGGGTGTGAAACAGGAGCCAACAGCTGAGGCATGAAATATTTCTCCTACAATGTTTAGTGAAGTCATGCCCTCTGTAGCTACAAAAGTAACCAAAACCTTTCACAAACAACCAGGAACTTTTGTGACATCTTAAAATCGAGCAAATTTTGTCACACAGAGACTATCATGAAGTAAACCCTGCTTCATGGAAGGTAGGTGGGCTGCAGTCCATGAAATGTTGTGCCATTACAGAGCTGTGACAGAAGACTTCATTATTAATAGGATTGCTCCTCTGAAAAGTTTCAGTTAAACTGGGAAGTGAAATAAAAAACTATTTAATCAGAGATAATAATGGGAAAAAAGTATGCACATTTGCACATCTGCCTTTCCCTACCCAAAACCTTCCAGCTGTTCTGGACTATGACATATACCCTGACGAAAGCCATGCTGGCTGGTTGATGGAAGTTGTAGTCAGAATATCAGGATGATATACAATTAGGGAAGGCTGCTATACTGTGCAGATGTCTTGCGTACGACATAGGTATAAACTTA